TCTCAATCCAACATCAAACTTTCAACTCAATAACAAAAGGTGCTTTACATGCCATACTGGCCCATATGCCTGGCACTGTGTGCAATCAACTGCTCTAGGGAAAAATCAGAAGCATGGGAAACATAACTTCCAGTACCTCTTAAGATTTGGCTGCAGAATATATAATTTATTTAGGAAAAGAGGCCAAGAAGTCACTTTAAGCCAGGAGCTGTAACTTTTCCATTACTGCAGTCATGGCTATACAAATGAACAGCTGTTTGGCACACACAAAAGAGAAGGCTCAATGCACATGGCATGGGTGTACATGCCACCCTGAAAGGAGTCCAGCCATGCCATGGCATATATGGACAAGCCACCCATCAGCAATGGATTACAGTGTGTTCTGGTAATGACTAAGCATAAAGCTTTTGAATAATTTTTTTTTTCTTTTTTTATTGCCGAAATTGTGTGGGGCAGAGAAAAATCTCTGATTCACAGGACTATTTGAAACATCAAAGGGGATCACGTGTTGGGAAATTTTGGCTTTAGGAACAAGAGTACAACTAATTATAACAACTATTGCAGAAAATATAACAGAACGAAACATTTCATACAGAAAGATGAATTATTAACCAACTAATTAACAAAATAATTACCAATTGTGGGAATTTTGCAATTAAAATGTAAAATAATTCATCTTACCTTGTGCAATCATTCATACCCTCTTTCAAGAACACAGTCTAATTTCAACCATGGTATCACAAGTGGATACTTTGTATACAAATCAGCTTTACAAAAAAATCTTTTCAAGCTTACAAATCTTGCCACAAATCAATCCTCTCAACACAAAACCATACACAATAATGCTGAAACAAAGAACACTGGTAGTAAATTCAAGTAGAGTGAGGCACACAAATTTAACACTAACATGCACATGAACCCAACACAAGGCTAAGAGAAGTTGAGCTTGGACTTCCTTTATTGCATAATGATCATTAATATCTTCTGTATTCAGTAATCCAATTATCTCAGACTCTGAATTTTTCATAATGATATTGACAGTAATAACAATAATAACGATAATAATAAATGTAGTAATATAATAATAATAATAATAATAAATAACAATAATAACAATAATATAATAATAATATGATAACATCAATAATAATAAAATAATAAAAATGATGATAACAATGAGAAAATAATAAAAATGAAGAAAAAAATAAAAATAAAATAAATAAAGAATAGGAAGTCCAAGCTCACAATATTACCTTTCTTTTAGCCCCTCGGCCTTAACCCTATTGTGAAGATGCAAGTTTAGACTTTTTTGTACCTGTATGGAGGCGTTGTGGTTTGGCATCCCTGAAGAAATAGAAATGAGCACTGTAAGCGCACATGGGGAGAGAAAGAGAAAAGAAAACGCGTCAGTACTTACATTAACAGACAAGTGCTTGGAAAATTATGACTCACGCAGCTGTCATCAGATTTAGCAAGTCGAGAAAGAAACTTAAAAACGCATGAGGGACCGATGAAAATATACTTATACTAAAAATATAGGAACTCCTCAATTATGAATTCAAACTGGAAGAACAGCTGGGTGGTCATACAAACACAAAATCCCTCATGGTTCCTACACAAAAAATTCCCTGTTCTAAGTATTTACAATGTTCTTGAAAATTGGACTGCACTCATATTCACCTTCACTTGAAAGCAAACTAAGTATTACTGTATACTGAAAAAATCACTAAATTTCACTAACTTACAAAGACCAAATAGACAAACAAGGACAAACAAACCAGAAAAAAATCTAAGGCAAAACAAATATCAGCACAACAAAAAAATTTAATGATAATAAAAAAATGATAAAATAAAATAAACTCAACTGACTGGAGCATATAACTAACATACCAGCGATGACAGTATTGATGCATTCATAGAGCAGAGACATTGCTGAGGTGCTGTGGATGGGAAATATGATTAGCTTAATGGGTATATAAGAAAAATAGGATATAAATATCAAATCCAGAAAACTAGTACTAAACAATATCTACTTCAAAATTCCTGTGAAAATTTGATTCTCAAGTAACAGTTTTAGATAGTTTTTGGTGCTTTAGTAGTGAACTTATTCAGTTACATTACTTACAATGTAAAAAAAATAAAAAATAAAAAAGTAAAACTGCAAAGAAATCATGAAATTCTATTGTCCCTCCCTCAGCAATAAGAAAAACTATAATCTACAATACCGGATTATAAATTGTACTACCTCTTACTCCCTACAGCAGAGTATTTTACATATAAGGTACTTTTCTTTGCACTATTAAACTTTTGAAAATGGAAATCATTGAAGTGAATAGTGTTGGCACAGTTACAGAACAATCTATCATCTACACATGCACTATGAATGGCATGCACATATGCAAGTGACTCATTCTCTTTTTGCTTGGTAGAATTTTGGCAGTTGTGAAAAGTAGCTGTTGCATAAAAGGTTCCTTTACTTTAATAGTCAATTAATAACTGTAAATTATCACGCATATGGAAGTCTATCATTGGGCTTCTAAAACTGGGTCTTTACTTGAGCTTAAAAGGATATAAATGTAATGACTGATTCGTTACTAATAAGATAACTGATAGAACTAATGTAAACCCCTGTAAAAAAATAATACAAGGACTGACAATACAAAAATAAATCAAAATTATTTAAAAAATAATTTCTTGTACAGTCTTGTTTCTCTAGATGTCCAAAGGTCTACAACTAGAAGTCTGCACAAATGTCCTTAATGTTCCCACCATCCTGTTATATACACATAAAAAAGCAATTTATGATTATAAAACAATAAATCCCTTCCATACATCTATATATCTGCAACCATCCAAACTTGTAGCAACACATTCAAATTCATGCATGCATATGCACACTTTTTCATGTGCACATACATACCCACATACAGGGAGACACATACCCAGATAAACATCCCTAATACACACCAATTGTATACACATGCATACATATACACTCAAGCATGCATACACACACAGGCTCACACACACACACACACACACACACACACACACGCACACACACAGGCGCACACACAGCGGTGCACACACACACACACAGGTGCACGCACACACACACACACACGCACACACACACACACACACACACACACACACACACACACACACACACACACACACACACACAGGCACACACACACACAGGCACACACAAACACACAGGCACACACACACAGGCACACACACAACACACACACACAGGCACACACACACACAGGCACACACACACACAGGCACACACACACACATATATATATCCCCTCAAACACCCTAACACACTTTGTCATGTCAACAGCTCTGCAGTCATTAAGCAGTATAATACACGTTTACCTGTGGATAAGATTTGTGAGGGGCTCTATCAGCTTCTTGCCTAATCTGGGCTCTAAGGGGGTCAGAGCTCCAAACTGCCAAAAGGAGGGAAAGCTCCATCATTACAAGGGTCACAAGACTAGCACAGTTAGATACTCAGCTGCAATACGTTGACAATAAAAAGACTTACAAAAGGGTTACAAATACATACATATGATGAAGAGAACAAGAATGAAAGGTCTACAGTTTCTCCTTACAGTTCTAGATACATACAGAGAATGAAAACAATCTAAAACAATCTTTATTGGGATATCATTGATAAGTATGGAGAAAAAGGAGGAAGGTTGTCAAAGGCTGCAATAAATGGAAAGTCTGTAAGAGTGTGGCACACAGCACTCTGTTTTTGCCTGATGTCTTATAACACTGCGTGGTCTTTTTACCTAATGTCCATTTAAACTGATCAGGTTTTAATAAAAAATATTTAAAGAGAAAATAATAATATGTAGTTAATAAAACTAGAGAGATTGCAGAACATAATAAAGTATACAAGAAAAACAAAAACTGCAATAAAAAGGATATACAGAAAGAGATCATGAAAAAGAAAGTAAACAAAAAATCATTACATAGTGTGTTTGATAATGAGAGATTATTATCAGAAAATGGAGGGGCAACAGGACTTAAAAAATCCTCTATGATTTCCTTGTGAATTTAGATATATATTTTTTTCCTCTGACTATTTTTTTTAATATGTGTATAAAGGTAAAAAAGGCAAACAAACAGAATGCAGACACTGTATATAACAGTTAAGTGTGTGTGTACACTACTCACTAACTTTGTGTGCTAAAAGAAACATTCTTCTGAAAGAGAAAGCCAAGAAAAAAGCAGAGAGAAATAGAGGGTACATGGGCATGATGACCAAATACAACATTTTCAATAAAACATGACAATGAGTCTGGAGTTGATTATAACGTTCTGACAGATGCCTAGTTCATTCTTTCAGCATAAGTCTTGTCCCTGGATATAGAAAACTGCTATTTGCTGCAGAAATAATTACTTCTGTTCTGCAAGAATGGCCAGAGTGCTAAACAAAGTTGCCAAATTTGTAAAGATGATCCACTTTAACTAACAATTTCACTATACTGTGTCAAGCCTTAATGCTCTACAAAACAACCTGCAAATCATCTTTCTTTTCCTACTTCAAACCTCATAAAATAGTTGACCATATTATATGGTTAAACTATTGACTCCTATGATAAAAGCTTTCCTAGCAATACAGCAAAAAATAGACTATATAATTCTCATCATTTCCAAGAAAAAAACAACGGCATGCACTAAAATAACACATTATAGAATGGTGACCAAGACTGAATGTAAACTTGTCTCCAAGGAGTTGGTATTGTTACACACTGAATCTCTACAATGAACACGAATCTAGCAGTGAGGTAAAAGAGGGAAATGACAAATGCTGCAAAACAAATTTTCAACCCAGGCAGGTGCAACCCTAATTATTGTTTTTTTCTTTCTTTCTTTGATTTTGAGTGGAACTATGCCCAAGGTGTTGTGGTAAAATTACGCAAAGGGACTTTCAATTCATACTGTGGTACCTGCTTATGATCTCAATGAGAGGCTCACTCAGCCTCCTGCCCAGGCGGGGCTCAATGCTCGTGAGAACCCCAAACTGAAATGACTTGTCTGTCAGCTCGTCAAAATAAATAAGATTATCTGAATGCTATGGAAAAAGGGAAATTATGCATACTATATAAAAAGGGAAATTATGAAGAAAAATATACACTGAGGGCTTTTTCATCACAGTTCTAAAAAAAAAATAAAAAAATCATTAATAACGAATAATTAAAGAAAAAATCAAATTTGGTGGCTAAATAAACATCCCTCCAAACTAAAATAATGAACATAGCAGTATGCAGAAAATCTGAAATATGGTATATTTGATTTCAGATTAGGCAGAACATTACTTTTGTAAGAGTACATGGATTAAGAAAAAGAAAACAAAGGGAGAAAAGATGAAAAACTCCAAGCATTTCAATTACTTGATTCTGATCATGATCATCTGGAGACTAAAAGAGGCTAATATAGGCCTACATATCAAAAGTGTGTAGTTTGCGTGACTTTACAAAGATGTCTATTGAGCAATGTTCCGGCCAATTCAAAATCTGTTGACTATCAGGACAACATGTATGATAAAAATTATTTATAATATAAAACTGGAGAAAGAAAAGAAAGATTAAAGTGAGTAGACAAAATTACTCTAAAAAAAAATATATATATACATATATATATATATATAGAAAAAGTTAGAGGGATAATTCAATTGAGAAATCCCTGATACAATACTGCCTGAATAAAAGAACCTGAAAATGATGCCTTTAAAAAATTGAGGAAAACTGAAGAAACAAAACAGGTGATATCTTGTATGGAGGAAGATCAAAGAAGTTTTCCTAAGAAGAAAATTAATGAATGTAGAGCAAGAAAAGATGTAATAATTTTACACAATCACCTACAAAAACATTTATTAAAATATTATGCTATATCATTCACTGCAAGCAACTGGTACGAATCCTATGAAAAATGTAAAATTAATTAATTCTCCTTGTCAAACTGATACAGGTGACTGAAAATACAAACAGATGGTTAGAAATATTAGAAATGCTTATATAAAAGCTAAATGGTGAAAATTATCTCTGGATATTATAGAATACAAGTCCTCTTTAATTCAGGCTGGATATTGAATCTCTTCGTATGGAAATAGAAAATGCAGTGTTGCAGTGCCTTCCAATAATAATTACTTTTGTAACACTGGTAATCAAATATAAAACTGTGGTAAATATTACTATGAATGATAAAATTTGCATTTTCTGAGAATCATTTATGACCTTCATAACTGTATATTTGGAGAGTCAGGTGATGTGGAGTTAAGCTCTCTACTGTTCTGCAGGTATTAAGGTTTTTCTTCTGCCTCCAAAGTATTTTCTGGCCATTTACTTTGAAGCATAAATGCCATTGCAATACATTGCTACAAATAACTTAACAAGTGAATGATGCAACAGAGAACTTAATTTTTGAGCAAACATGGGATGATCAATATTTTATAAAATTTCAGTGCTCACTCACCAATTTGATGATCTTGATGAGCATCCAGTTGTTGGTGGAAGAGGTCATGAGTTTGAAAAAGACTGGTGCAAGGCTCAGGTAATTCTTGGGGTTCTTGCGTGCCAGCTCACAGATAACATTGACTGCCGCTGACTGCACACCAGGGTCTGGATCTTCCAGCTTCTCCTTGAGCCGGGGGAAGGCGGGTCGTAAGGCCTCAGGAAACTTGAGAAACACTTTGTATAGGAGGAGAACAGCCTTTTTCCGTAGGTATGGCTTGGTGGATGTTAACTGGTAAAGTGGAATCTTCAATGAGTTTCAAAAGATAAAAATGAGAATAAAAATAATATCAAAGGATCAGGAAGGAAAAAAAATATCACACTATCTATGTAATGGTAAAGACACAATCTCCTATAAATTCATTTGTACTCTTGGCAATTTGCAAGTTTTACTATCCAGTCTTAAAAAAGTGACATTACCAAGGTCATGACATCATTGGCCAAGTCTCTAGCAAGATCTCCACTGATGAAACAAGCCAGGCCAGTAAGTGCAGTGCCTGAGTCGTACATGTTTTGACTGTTGAGGTCTTTTCGAATCATATTTGTTGTCAGCATGAGGACCTGAAATTTAAAAAAATAAGTATGTTAAAAAGACCAATAGCACTATAGCACTACCTACATGTGAGATTAAAAATGGGAATAGTAAAAATCAAAAAGAAAGTTGGGGAGAGAGGCAGAGGAGGAGGAGGAGGAGAAGAAAAGAATTCAGCCTGGATAATAATCCTGAACATCTGAATAAAAGTAGAATTTAACCCACTCCTGATGGGACTTCCCAGAGTCATATTTTCTGGGGTAGTTTCTCCTCAATGACCACAGTGAGGGCCAAACAAGCAAACAATTCCTTAGTATATCTTTGAGCAAGATTGATCTAGCTTGCTATATTATGGGTTGTCATCTGGTTAACCCCTTGCCACTGGGTGGCATGTACGTATATGCCAAGGCTGTTGTGGACCAAGAAATGGGTGGCATCTCATCACAACCATTTTCACATTTAATGATATAAAAATATAAGCTTTTAGTTGCCTAATGTTGCCCGTAAACTGCTGAGCAAGCTCCATACAAACAGGAAACTGTCGATGTATGCCATGTTATTTGCCACTTGTCAAATCTTTAACCCAGAGTTAATGGGCTAAGAGCTGTTATAGTGAAGTTCCTGAGAAATACTGGGTAACTAACTGCAGACTGAATACATTTTACAAGCACAAAAGTTGATAAAATAACTAGAAATTGTGCAATGTATTTAGAATAGAACACTATGCCCAAATAAGAAATATAAATACTATAGCAACAACCACAACAACAATAATATTAATAACAACTGCCTTCTATTTAAATTCTTCTTCTTTGGTTATTCTCCTTACCTCTGTATCTTGGTGGAAGCACTGTGAAGCAGCTAAGTAACCAATTCTCTTGAAGGTGAACTTGGGAGAACTCATCACTTCAATGATGTTGAATCCTGCCCAACTGATGTCATAACCCAGCATTTGCAACTGCAGAAAATGGACTCATTAGAAGTAATCTTTCACATTGTAAGGATACCGAAGTATGGTTTTATTGACAAAAAAAAAATCTCAAATAGTAGAGGGGGACCAATACCAACATCTTGATATACATGTGATTTAACTAGCTGCACATTCATTTGAGTTTTGGATCTATAAAAATAGCTAAAAGACTATTTTTAGATTTTTAAAATAAAAGATTCCCCTCCCCTATTTTGCTAAAAAAAATTCAAAACCATTCATATTTTTAAATCCGGTATTACACTCACTCCTCTCCAGAATTTGCTCACTTTCCATCTCATGCTCTCACCCACTTCCTCACTTTCTCACACACATGCTCTCTGACTCTCTTTTTTTGTTTATTTTGTTTCCATTTTCCTCTCTCAGCCTTTTCTTACCCTCTTATTCCCTAAAAAGGAAATGCCCTCAATATACAGGAGAGTCCAGCTTACAAAAGAGATAAAAAGTTAACCATATACTTACATAAGTGAGCTTCGCGACTGCATTGGCTTTGACCGCTAAGTTGTCTTGCCTCAGTTCGGTCTTGATTTCTTCCATGCATTGTGCTATATATTTGGGCTGAAAGGAAGTAAAAAATAGAAAATTAATCAAAGCTATAATGACAAAATAATAACAATACAAACAACATCCAAGCTATGTAAACACTTGCCAAACACCTGTACACTGTATATTCTGGGATAAGTGTCAGATGTTTACACCTACAGTGTTTATACTATTTTGATTTTATCAGTCCACGCACTGAGTGCTACATGTACCGGCCAGTGATACTGGGTGGCCAAACCAACAAAAACAAAAAGGTCAATACAGGGTCATTCCACATCAAACCATCAAAAGAAAATGTGAAATCTAGCCCACCATCTCAAAATTGTCTAAAACTTAGCAATTTCCCAAAATTTGCTTTTGATATTGGAATTGGTTTGGGCTCCACAGCCATTTAAGTTTTTAGGTCTCAAGCCCACTAAAATCCTTAAAATTTTGGTTTGATTTTTACCAAAGGCTATCAAAGAGGGAAAGAGGGAGAGAGATAGGGAGGGAGGGAGAGAGAGGGGGAAGGAGAGAGAGAGGGGGAAGAGAGAAGAGGGAGAGAAAAGAGAGAGAGGGGGAAGGAGAGAGAGAGGGGAAAGAGAGAGAGAGGGGGAAGGAGAGAGAGAAGGGAAGGAGAGAGAGAGGGGAAAGGAGAGAGAGAGGAGAGAGAGGGGGAAGGAGAGAGAGAGGGGAAGGAGAAGAGAGAGGGGAAGGAGAGAGAGAGGGGAAGGAGAGAAGAGAGGGGAAGGAGAGAGAGAGGGGAAGGAGAGAAGAGAGGGAAGGAGAGAGAGGGAGAAAGAGAGAGGGAGAAGGAAGAGTGGGAGAAGGACAGAGGGAGAAGGAGAGAGTGGGAGAAGGAGAAGAGAGGAGAAGGAGAGGAGAGAGAGGGGGAAGGGAGAGAGAGGGAAGGAGAAGAGGAAGGAGAGAGAGGGGGAAGGGGAGGGGAGGAGGGGGAGGAGGAGAGAGAGGAAGGAGAGAGAGGGGAAGGAGAGAGAGGAGAAGGAGAGAGAGAGGAAGAAGACGGAGAGAGAGGGGAAGGAGAGAAGAGAGAGAGGAAGGAGAGAGAGGAGAAGAGAAGAGAGAGGGGAGAAGAGAGAGAGAGGGGGAAGGAGGAGAGAGGGAAGGAGAGAGAGGGGAAGGAGAGAGAGGAGGAGAGAGAGGGGAGAGAGAAGAGAGAGGAGGAGAGGAGAGAGAGAGAGGAAGAGAGAGAGAGGGAAGAGAGAGAGAGAGAGAGAGGAGAGAGAGGAGGAAGGAGAGAGAGGAGGAAGGAGAGAGAGAGGAAAAGGAGAGAGAGGAGGAAGGAGAGAGAGGGGAAGGAGAGGGGAGAGGGGGGGGAGAGGAGAGAGAGGGAAGGAGAGAGAGGGGAGGAGAGAGGGAGAAGGAAGAGAAGGGAAGGAGAGAGGGGAAGGAGAGAGAAAGAGAGAGGAAGAGAGAGGGGGAAGGAGGAGAGAGGAGAGAGAGGGGGAAGGAGAGAAAGGGAGAGAGAAAGGGGAAGGAGAGAGAGGGGAAGGAGAAGGGGGAAGGAGAGAGGGAGAGAGAGAGAGAAGAGAGAGAGAGAGAGAGAGAGAGAGAGAGAGAGAGAGAGAGAGGAAGAGAGAGAGAGAGAGAGAGAGAGAGAGAGGAGAGAGAGAGGAAGAGAGAAGAGAGGAGAGAGAGAGAGAGAGAGAGAGAGAGAGAGAGGAGAGAGAGAGAGAGGAGAGAGAGGAGAGAGAGAGAGAGAGAGAGAGAGAGAGAGAGGAGAGCAGAGAGAGAGAGAGAGAGAGAGAGAGAGAGAGAGAGAATACATAAGAGAACATTATAAGTGTAATGATAAAATCTTTTTTCAGAATATGAACTAGTAATTTGGTAAATTAAAGTAGTGGCCTCATCCCCACAGAAAAGACAAGAAAAGGAAAAAAAGGGATAAAAAAAATCAATAGGCACTAAAAGACATAATGCTCTTTTTATGATTTTTCTGATTATATAATGCAGAAAGAGAGAGAACAGAAGAATAAATGGCAAAAATATCTCTCGAAATTAAGCAAAAACAAACCACTAAGATAGCTCAGTTAATAATAGTAGAACTCTTCTTGTTTTCCCTAACAGAATTCGCAGCATGACAGCGCATAACAAGAGTTCCCCTGAGACAAAATGACATTCCATTTGCCAAAGCCTCTGCCCCTGAGCCGAGTTAATCCCCAGGACAAATAGCGGCATTTGCATATACTGAGTCACCTTTTGATCATGTGGCTCCTCCCAACAAACGAAGGTTGGATATTAGCTTTATCTATAGGTATAAACTATAGGCAACAGGAAAACTATGATTAGGGAAACCAACATAATTGAATACTGATCTAAACAATACAAGACAATAGTGTTAGAAAATGAAAAAAGAAAAGAAAAAGAAAAGAAAAGAAATCCCCTACACCACAGTGGCACAGAGAGCTGTCTGTACCCTCTCCTGCTCCACTTCTTCCCCTTCCCTTCATCTACTGCTGTTGCTGCTGTTCATGTTGCTGCTTCATACTGTTACTGCCCTTCTTTTCCTGCAGTTACTGTTGTGTCTGCTGCCCCTGGCATTGGTTCTCCTCCTGCCCCTATTGCTGCTTCCACTGCTCCTCCTACTTCTCTTCCTGCTTATAATGCTGGTCTTTATAATGCTGCAACTCCTTTGCTGCTGCTGCTCCCATCATTCCCCGACTACTTCTTTTCCTGTACTCCTCTCCTCCTTCCATTCCCTCACTACTACTCTCTCAGCTTCTGCTGCTGTTCTTTCTACTTCTCTGCCCGCTACTCCACTCCTCCCCTCTCCCTACACCATTTCTTGTGCTCTTCCTATTCAATCCTCCTTGCTATTCTGAAGCTCTAATATCAGCTTATATCCAGTTCAATCCTCCTTGCTATTCTGAATCTCTAATACCAGGTTATCCCCTGTTCATATACTTATATTTCTGTGTTGATTGCAATATCACTGAATATGATAATACATATTTACATCTTACATTGTATGTCAGGTATATCAGTCCTGATGTCAAGAACATTAAATGTTCATTCACTATTGTCCTATGCATTATATTCAGAGTTTTATGACACATTTTATCATATAATTTGAGAGAATATATTTGAATAGTAAAAGTGACATATACAAGTAGTACTAGAAATAATAAGGCTAATTTCCACATGATAATGCTGACATGATAATAATTACAGCGAAAGCAAAAATAACATCATGGGTGCAAATCTATAATATCATAGCTTATATTTTCAATACGAAAATAATATTTTCTGGGCAGATTCAAATTAGGTCATTACGAAGTATCTATTCAAAGTCTAATAACAGAAAGTAAATGCACACAGTACAATAATTACAGCGAAAGCAAAAATAACATCATGGGTGCAAATCTATAATATCATAGCTTATATTTTCAATACGAAAATAATATTTTCTGGGCAGATTCAAAATCGGGAACCTGCCTGTGCGCCACCCGCCACAGGCAACAAATTCAGGGCGCAAGCTCCAATCTAGCCTCGCACCGGCGGGATGCCCAGTAATGTTTACATTTCTGAGTGTGTCATATGTGTGACACCTGTCATAAGTGGGTTAACATCCAAGCATTTACAAATTGTTTTACCCATCCCTTTATCACTAAATTATAACCAAAGAAGATATGACTGCATAACAGGAAATCATTAAACTCTTAAACGATGCACTGATTACAAACTGATGCAGTTGCTGAATAGCAATGCACTTAATAATTACTTTACCTACTATATTTGAATTCCCACAAAAAATTGTTGTATTTTTTATATCTACAAATGAAATTCTACATTGTGAGATCAGTTAAAACAGTTTCTCTGCATCCTCAGCCATGCCTGCCTAAATACAGTTGCATTTCATTTGGGGCTTACTATGTTAAGATACCCTGAAAAACTGAGCTCAACATGTTCTGCAATAATATCATATCACTCAACCATGCGGTCACAACAAACTGATGCCAAGACAGCACATGCACTGTGATTTTAGTTTATCAATTATGCTTACATGTGCATGGCTCAACAACAGCTTAGTCACCACAGAACTAATTACAAGTCCTACTGAATCTCATCCTTTTCCTTGGTTTCAGAATAAAAAGTTATTGCTCATTTCTTACTGTTATTAGTATTGATAATGATATAATAATTCTAATATAAACAATAGCAACAATAACCATAATGATATCAATAGCATTAGAAAATATAAAAGTTTCCCGAACATTCAGGGAATGGGGATATCATATGAGGTAAGGTAAAAGTAAATATAGAAAGAAAGAAAGAAAGAAAAAAACTACAACAGATAGAGCAATTACCCAGTGCCAATGGGTTCACAAATTAGACAACAAAAACCTTAAAGGAATAATGTCATAAACAGACAACTTTTAAATTAATCTATAAAATCCTGTTCTCTACTATCATGACCTGATGCATTTTTTGTGGGTGCTTTGAACTATACTCATTGCATTACAATGTAAAAAACAGTGAGCCGATATTCTTACATCTTTTGCTTGGAATGAGATATATAGAGTAGCAACTAATAAATCTGTCTGGCCACACCCACCAAACCATCCCCATACCCACTCACCTAAAAGCCACTCTTCTCCTTGAGACATTTATAATAGGTGTGGACCCCGTGTCTGTCTGTCTGTCTGTCTGTCTGTCTTCTTCTGTCTCTCTCTCTTTTTTTTTTTTTTTTTTTTTTTTTTTTTTTAGCTTTCAGGTAGATGTGGTCCCCATCTTTTATTCTATTATGAACAGAATGCGGCAAGCATAAAAAAGTACTATTGGTAGTGTGTGGCATATTTCATCCAGGAGGTTTCCCCATCCTTCCTCATTCCCCTCCATAAAATACATCATGTATATAATATAGGCACCTTCTACTTTATCATCATTACTATCTATATAAATGTTTTATCATATTATGGGTTTTTATATATAACAACAAAGACATATATATATATATATATATATATATATATATAATATATATATATATATATATTATATATATAATATATATATATATATAACAGAACATTCTAATGTTCAAACTCAACCTTTTTGGGATATACTATTCTTGGCATTCTATTATAAGTAAATTGCTGAAAACACAGATGTCATTTCCCTTCTTCGTCAATTCATCTTACAGTAGATACAGGTTTTGTCAATATTCATTTGCTTTTCACACTTCTATGTCTGGTAACAAACATTTCACAAATGCATTTTACCTCTCTCTTTGGAGTCTAAAAATAAGAAAACTGTTTTGGGGATTCCTAAAAAAATACTCATTATATACAAATTTTAAATGTGATGTTTTCATTTACGCTAATCATTCTATATTCGTAATAAAGGATTTAGCACAATATTTTCTTTACTTGCTGAAATCCAGCGAAATATCAAAACACAATAATATAGAAAACAACTTAATTGAATTTGGCCCTACTTAACACTTAGCAAACTGTAGTAAATCCCTAGATTTGCACGTTACCTTTAAGCCTAAAACAATAGGCCTGCCAGGTAGATGTGATTCTGTATCAATAACCTTCCCATTTTTATGGTAATTTACTATGATGAGAAAAAATTAATATAAGGAGCGGTAATACAAAATAGCCCTCTTTCCAGTTGCATTAGTTATCAAACCTACTTAAAATTAAACATAGCCTATATCAATCCCCAGAAAAAAGGGGCAACTTTCTCCAATACCGCACCCTCAATCTTAACTGAAATTTTGCTGCAAAATATTGGTATAGGAACTTTTCTCTTTTGACTTTGCTACAGTGTTTTAAATGTGCAGATTATTAAGTATATGCCTATGACTGACTTCTTGGTTCCTTTATCTGGCAGTAATCTTTTTGTTTACTTTCGTTTTCAAGTTATATAGTAAAAAGTATTCTTTTGCTTCCTGTATCAAAATTCCTTAATTTTTTACTTTCATGCAGTCCTGTTATTCCCATCACCTTTCACAGTCAAAACATAAGACAGAAAAATAAAATACTATACATCTTTTCTCTGTAACTACTGAAGTTAGTTCCTATAGTTCTAATTTTGCTCATAGAAGATAATATGGCTGTGGCACTTTCCTTTAATTCAGCACATGGCACACTTCCTAGTAGTGACAGACATCATCTGGCATTGAATATCCACAATACTAACACAAATAATAGCTAACTTCCCAGAATGGCCAATGTCGCAAGACAAACAAAATGAAAATACAGTGCATACATCAAATAATGCAAATACTTTTAGTGCATCAACAACAGCAGCCTGCGCGTTCACATGTGTCTGTGGTTACATTAGTCTCATCTATAGATCTTATATATATATATATATATATATATATATATATATATATATATAATATATATATATATTATATATATATATATATATATGTTATGTATATGTATATGTACTATATGTATATGTATATATATGTATATATATGTATATGTATATATGTATATGTATATGTATAATATATATGTATATGTATATATATGTATATGTATATATGTATATGTATATATATATATAGTATATATATAGTATACTATGTATATGTATATATATGTATATGTATAATGTATATGTATATGTATATGTATATATATAATATATATGTATATGTATTATATGTATATGTATATATGTATATGGTATATGTATATATATGTATATGTATATATATGTATATGTATATGTATATATATAGTATATATACATATACATATAATATATATACATACATATATACATATAATATATATATATATATATATATATATATATATATATATATATATATATATATATATATATATATATATATATATATATATATATATATATATATAGTACAATTCATGTGCCAAACCTCTATATGTTTATTATTTCTTATTAGATACATTTTATCCAAATAATTTTGAGTTTCCTACTGCAATGGTTAATATCTTATGTATTTACATGGCATGATTTATTTTCTTGACACATCGTATTTGCCAGGGGGTGTGGCCATAAGGCCCGGCAGTCTATTTCACATTTTGGTGAAACATGGCCATAGTGAAAGACAAGCAAGCTTTCCCCAAGAAATTGTATAGATTGATACTTCATGCCCTCTCCTACTATCGGGACTATTAAATCAAGCGTGTTGGCTGAATATGGATTTCTGCCAAGGGTATCATGCGAACCCAAACACCCAAACTAACCTTTCCTACCTTCTATTTATTCCACAGACAAGGAGGCAAGCCCCCCGTACCCACTATTTATTAGCACTTTGTACTAATCTATAGAAATGGAAATTAAGAACTCTGGCTGTGTAAGGGTGTTGTGGACTTAGTCTCTGAAAGGTGATAAGCAGAAGTCCTTTTCATCATTTACTGGTGAATATGAGACCATTGCAGCTTAAACTATGTTGTTTCTTATTCTATTTTCTAAACTCTATAAGATGGCACTGTCCATTTCCACATGTTGCCTTTGGTAACCTATACCTACATCTGCTATATACCTATAATTGTCATAGATTATCATACAATAAATGCAAAAATGCAAATTACATATTTAAAAATTACCCAATGGAGAATTATTCAAGGAAATGTCTAAAAATTTCAGGTCTCTGTAGTCATTTAGGCCATTTAAAAACTTGACATACCCTTGGAACCCATGCCAGGAATAATGCTTGTAGATACAGATACAGAAATCCAAGTGTAACTTCTGACATTGTTTATGAAGACTCCTGACATTATAGACATTGAAAACCCTTCAAAATAAAATATGCTAAGACTGGAAAATATCAAATACAAAATGTCTTAGAAAGTAGGAATGCAATGTAGAACTTGAGAGATAGAGACTGACTGACTGTCTGACTTAGCTATAATACATTTGCTTTTATTTGGCTACATAAAATCAGTAATGACATCTTTTTTTATTGTTACTCATCAGAGTTCTTATCAAATCCATGACACATCATTCTGGTTAATATCTAAAAGACATTCAATTGCTTTAAAAATACAGCTTTTTCATAGTGTTACAACGGCAGTTTTCTATTGAGATCAATATGAAGATGCTGTAAGCTTTGCTAAATAGCCAGCAATGAATCCCCAATCAATGTAGTGACATGTCCAATGATTCCCGCAACTTTCACACCACACACTTCTACCTGTCAACAAATCTCCCCCCCCCACATACTTTAAAAGAATTTATACTGCTTTTGCAAGCATTTTCCGATTATTTACCTGCATTTTTCCCCTAATATGTTCTCCCATTACATGACCTTGCATACTTTTTCATATAAATCCCCCAAAACTATAAAGTTGAAGTAAATAACAATCATTTCAAATTGAATAAAAAAAAATACCTTTACTTATGTATCATGCATTATATTACTCATTTAGATATATGAATGACATAATATAATAAATAAAAATCCGTCATTGAGTATTATACTTGCAAAACCATATCAACAATGCTTAATTGCATAGGCCTACAACGATCCGTCAATTTGCAACAATATGAATCACGCCTTACAACGTCTCTGTCACTGCCCTCATCCCTTATTCCTCCTCATTCTTCCTTCACTACCTAATCCATCGTCCCCAAAATGAGGCTCATTTCCCCTTCTTCTTAACCTTGTCATTTTCCTCACCTCTGTCTCCTTATTGTTACGGATTCCCCGGACCAAATCGGTGAGGTTCTTGTCAAACATCCTCTCCAGGTTGCCTTTCACCTTGCGCAGCGCCATTTTCTCGCTCTGTCTCTCTTCGCCGGCTTCCTAAAGATATTTCTCGACAAGGAGTTGTTTTCACAGACAAGGCATCGTCATAAGATCTACATAATTAAGTCCTCGGAAGGCGAAACTCCTCCTTCCTGTCACTGGAACCAGATGTTTTCCACTGGCTAGCACAGGGAGTGGGGATGGTCATGTGACGTTGCAACCTTCCCATAATCCTCCATTTTCAACAAAAAATGCTGATTTACTACATTTTCTCTGGTTTATTCTGTTATTTGCGTGTGATTCCATGAAATCTTCAAAAGTCTTTGAGGGATTAATTATCCTTCATGGTTTAGGCAGCAAAATTGGATATATTTTTTTATTTCTTCATTTTGACAGCTTGTGATTCTACAGCCCGAGTCTGTCATTCGGATATAAACCCCTTTCGCAAAAAATTATTAGGCTTTTGTGTTTCTTTAAGTGTAAATAAATGATAAAATGTATCTTAATATATTTCCTCCTTCTTTACCTATATACTGATGATTTACCAAAAAACAAATAAAATAATCGCTCTCAATAGTCAGACAATCTTTATAATATGAGAATGGAAGTGATGTTTCATATCACACATGACAAACAGCAAAATATCACATGATATTATTATAGATTTGTATATTTTCATGAAGTAAGTGAAAAATTCAAGGAATCAACTTAAAATTTGTGTAAACACATCAAAATCAAAAGGTGTTCCCCCATTGAGCACAGGAAGTGGGGGACCAAAACAAATCCATGCTCGAGAAGAGCACCCTATCACGTTGGTGTGTATTCTTATTATATTATTAAAGATATACAACAAAGATAATTGACATTTTTATACGCAAGAGGTATATATAAATAGATGATTATTTTAGGTCTAGTTAATTGAGTGATGCATACATATAAGGAGAGTTTGGGCAAAACCTGGATATGTATCTGATGCACACATGACATGATGAAATGCCTAGAATGTATGTATGTTTGGGCTTCTTATCATTCCTACATAACTTTGGCCTTTACTTTTAGAAAGTTAAAAATCCTCCTTGATGGTTGTTTATTCTTTTAAGGAATTTTTATATTTGGTAGGTGTTACTACCGAAAAATGTTCATTGTCATTACTTACAAGTTATAATTCAGATTGCTTGGAATTTGTAAAGTCCACTTCTAGTATTTTTTTGAGTACAGTTCACGATGGCCTGTAGTATTAGACCACATAGTTAGGCAGTGAATGAAGTGTACTGAGGAAATTTGGGAGGTAATTGATAATGATAATACTTAGTTTCTCCATGTGGTAACCTCTTGGTGCTGTATAATGTGATAGAACGTTTTGACAAATTTTGCCAGAGGTGTATGTTGGCAGTATTGTAGCCTTGTTTTGATTTTGAACTATCACAGAATGAGTCTACAAAGGTGGTATTATGCAGTTTTTCGTACACACATTCTTTTTGCTTGCCCTAACAAAGAATGAGGCTGATTAACTTTTATTGTGTCAGAGATATCAAAACAAGCCTCAAAGAATAAGTATCGTAGATAAAGGCTTATAGTTATTCAAATGAAAGGTTAGCAGAAGTAGTTTTAGCATACTGTTTAGTGCTTATGTTTTTGACCGCATTGCCCCAAACTTTCTGATGCATAGTAAGTGTGTGCACAAGTAATCCAGAAATTATACCAATGACCTCTCACATATTATTTGACTTTTCAGGTAGTTAATTTTTCTGCAAAGTTAATGATTATTCATTTTTTAATTTGTATACATGTTTGGTTTTGTGAGAGAGAGAAAGAGAGAGTGAGGGAGTGAGTGAGAGTGTGTGTGAGTGTGTGAGTTTGTGTGTGTGTCTCTTCGTATATTTTTTCTTACTCAGAATCTAACACTAATTTGTAATTTTAAAATTATGATAATAGTGTATAATGTTTATGAATTATTATTTTTGATATTGTTATTGTTGTTGTTGTTGTTATTATAGTTATTATTATTATTATTATTATTATTATTTTTGATATTGTTATTGTTGTTGTTGTTGTTATTATAGTTATTATTATTATTATTATTATTATTTTTATCATTATTATTATTACTAATTTTGATTGTTGTTAGTAGTAGTTGTAGTAGTAGAGTAGTAATATCATCATTATCATCTTTATCATTGTTATTATCACTATCATGGTATATTTATTTACATAATGATTGCAGTAAGACAGGGAAAATCAAAGAACACTGTCTAAACTCTTGATCACCATCATTCAAAATATAGCCTATTAACCAGTCTTGTCTGGGATTCCAAACAAATCATGACGGCTTAAAAACAACTATAGGAAGAACAAATTACACACTCTGTAACAGAGCCTCAATTACGGGTTGTCAAGAGGCCCAAAATAGAAAATGTAATAATCAACCAAATTAGAAAAAAAATTAATTGTTTCATAATATTGGAGAACTCAAAATATGTTTTAAATGATTATTAAACAATATTTTCTGCATAAATATTTCAACTTGTACAGGCTCTTTATAACACGAAATATGTCTACTGATTAGGCTACATAGATTGTGCATATCGTAAAATATTTTTGATACTTAGGTTGTTTACGCTGTGGTATCCTCGACTATCCTTAAATTAAAATCCTGTCTTTTCCCTGGTATGGATATGGCACAACATTAATTGCTATATTTTAAACATGAAATTGTTGGAATTTTTAACTTATATATGCAATGATGATATTGGGCCATGAAATTAGCAGTGAAAAAAAAAAAATAATAATAATGAAAAAAGTAGCCCCCCCCCCAAAAAAAAAAAAAAAAAAAAAATCTCTCTCTCTCTCTCTCTCTCTCTCTCTCTCTCTCTCTCTCTCTCTTCTCTCTCTCTCTCTCTCTTCTCTCTCTCTCTCTCTCTCTCTCTCTCTCTCTCTCTTATATATATATATATATATATATATATATATATATATATATATATGTTTTTTTTTTAATCATAAATAAATTAATTAATGATTAAGAAAAGAAAAGAAAAAAAAAAATATATATATATAATATATATATATATATATATATATATATATATATATATATATATATATACATATATATATATATATATATATATATATATATATATATATATATATATATATATATATATATATATATATATATATATATATATATATTGACAATAAAAAATGAGATAAATAAGGACATTTGCTTTAGCAATTGTAGCCAGCCAGTGTTGAGGTATGCTGGTCAAACTTTGCAGATGTTTAGTTCTAACGTCTCCAGGCCTTCTACATGACACCAGGCATGTATGGGATCCCAGACGATGGAGCCCTATATGTATAGTTCGCACGGGAGCCCTTAGAATACACCTAACTCAATGAGACCATAACTCAAACTGAGATGGCATGGAGGCCTAGCCTCATCCTTTCCTCAGCGATAGAAGCTAGGCCTTTTGACCGGCTTCCAGATAATGCTATTTATTAAAAAAGCTACACTCACTGATATATGAAATTCTCTGTACAGAAATCATCATCATCATCATCATCATTATTTTTTTTGTTATTGTTGTTATTGTTATCATTAGTGTTATTGTTATTGATATTTAATTTATATATTTATTTGTTAATTTTGAAAGGGCAAGTAAAAAAATGTAATAGATTTTGCTGTATTATGTTTTAGACATTATTTTATATTCCTGCATGGTTTCTTTTTGTGTATATGTCATAGTTGTTTCCTTTATGTGTGTTAAAATAGGTATAGGTATAAACTGAATTATATGGTATCATGTTTTCTGGCGGTATTTGTTGTTATTAAGACTTAATAGCTTCTGTTTCTCTTTTTAGTTTCCATTTTTTCTTATGTTGTCCTAATGATTTTATTAGGTCATTCATGACACCCTTTTTTTGACAACCTTTTCTATTTCTAAATATTATCTTGTCTTACAGGTTATTAGTGTCAGCGAAGAACAATGGGGAAGAAGAAACGACAGCACCGGCGGAAGGACCGGGAGGACAAGATGTTTGACACACATGACGATGCGATGCAAGATGTGGATGTGGATCTGGACCGCAGGTTGGGGGCCAAAGTCACTTCGAAACAGAAGAAGAGAATGAAGAGGAAACTCGTAAGAGAATTGAGGATGAAGGAACAAATGGACCGATACAAAGGCAAGGACGGCAAGGACGAATACACAGGGTGGCACACAATCGACATACAAGGAGGAACACCACTGGAGAAGAACTTTATCCTTTCAAGCATCGGGAGTGATGTGGAGGTCGAGTTCCGTCCTCTTGGCTTCTTCAAAATGGGAACGACAAGTGGATTTTACCTTGAGAAGAATGCTTCTGCTGCAAATGCCATTGTTGCACTTGACAAGAGACTCCAAGGGCCAGATGGAAGTCGGCTCAAGATCAACCTGAAGAAGTGTGAAACCCCAGACCTTGTGTTGAATACAGACCAGTTGCAGGTGTTGCGAGACGTTCTTTCTCAGAGATTCAACAGCGAAGCCTGCTTGTTAGATCTGTCAAGTTTTCATTATGAGCAGAGATTTTTAGACCAGGACATCCTGGCACCTCTGGCTAGTACCTCCATCATGAAGCACGTTGTTCGTATGATTAGAGAAAATGTGCCTCAGCTGAAAGCACTCAATTTAAGCAAGAATAACTTCAAAGTAAAACATTTGAAAGGCTTGCAGGGCTTAAATATCGGAAACTCGCAACTTGCAGCTCTCAACCTTGAGCACAATGATATCAGAGACATATCAGTGCTTAAGCAAGTGAAAATGTTTCCTTTGTCTGAACTTAACCTTCAGTTTAATCCACTGTTGAAGAGTTACAAGGACTGTCCAATGAAATATATTCGCCATGTTAGAAAAGAGATTCCTCATTTGAAAATTATAGATGGCGTTGATATTGATGCGTATTTACTCGAAAATGAAAAGAGCCAGGCCAATGGGCTAGAACCGTCTGTTTCTCAACCTAATGTGAATGAAACTGGCTCTAGTAGTAATACTGTATCTGAAGGTATGGTCCGAACCTTTTTAGAACAGTACTACGCCCTCATTGACACCCCACAGCGGAGCAATCTTGTGGCTGCATACACTCCTGATGCTGTGCTGGAGGTTAAATCTTCCATCAGTGAAATCAACAGTAGTGTGCTTGTTGGGCATGATGAAAT